ACAGCTTAGTAGTTTTAACCGCAAAACTCTTTATTAATACGAACGATTACGAACAATTAAAAATAGAGTTCATGCCAGAGATGTGGCAGTGTACAAATGTATGCACGTTCACAGATACCACTAGATTTAATCACTACTATATTCCTATGGGATTGCTGTCTGAGACACCCAGAGAGATATCAGGTGAAAACCAACAGCTTCATATGTTCTCCGAGAGAAAAAATTTCCCAAGCCCGTATGTTAATAATAAATATAACACAATCATTCCAAAAATACACTTACTACATAAATTTTCAATCTTCAAATAGCACATACGTATTTAGTAACAACCAAAACAATACTGACAAGGATGGCGACGACGAATATTTACTTTCTAGGTCGTGTGACATAACGGAAGCTAACTTCTAATCGACTGGCAAAACATCATCGATGTTGATGACGCAAATTATACGATTAACACGAATTTCAAGGAATTTCCGATAAGCGAATAACCGTTTGTGATATTTGATGTATACAAAAACAGAAAAAAAGTGGAGAACGGTAAAGGACTATTACGGAATATCTCCATACCCCGTAACAAATAGATATGTTGGGACATTAACACACAGTACTATCTAGTTCCGTGGCAAGCTACGAGGCCTGTGTTATCGATATCAGATAGTTGATACACTACATATATATATATATAACTACATACATATTATAAATAATATAAACACCCATGACTGGAGTACAAACATTCTCATGCTCATGACACAAATGAATGCCTCCAGCGGGGCTTGAATCGCGACCGCTGGAACAGCAAGTGACCTACTATAAACTGAGCCAAACATGTCGGCAATATTTAAAACGGTCCTCAAATATTTTGTCGTAGGTATCTATTTTTATGCAATTTAAGTACAGATTCTTATCCGCTACCCTGTATCATTCATTCATCGCCCCAAGACATATTTGTTTTTTAAATAATGACTTGACTATTGAATAGTGGTTGAGGCAAATTATTTTGAATCTATCTAACTACATAGAAGTAGATTATTTCACACCTTTTTGAAAGGTACTGCTTTTTCAATGAAAGACTATTATTTACAATTAAATCTATCTATACATTTTTGCCTAAATTAAAATATAAGAAAGTCGGCACTTAAAAAATGCCACTTAAAATCATAGTTACGGCAAAAAATAATAGTAAAAACGTCTATATACCTACATCTATACATATAGGTAATAAAATTCTAACTGAGCCGAATCTGTACATTAAATATTTTTGGAAAATCTTATTGAAATAGACATTATTTTCTACACAGAGGCCGAATCTATAGTTTTTCGAATTTTTGTCTGTTTGTTTGTCTGTTAACGCATCACGGAAAAACCGCTGGACGGATTTTGATGAAATTTGGTATGATGATAGCTAGTAATCCGGGTCAACAATAGGATACTTTTTACTGCGGGAAAATATCTCATCTCTGAGAAATCTATACGAAACTTTAAAAAGTATTTTTAAATTTATTTCAATTTACGCAAATGGGTACTACAAATTTTATTATTTACCATTAAAATATATAAAAAAAATATTAGGTAGTACTTACACAATCTAGTATTTCAAGTAAACCAACAAAAATGTACCATATATAGGTACCTACTTTAAATCAAATTTAACTTTCGAAGATCTCGCTCCTGCTGAAGTTCTTAACAAACTAAATCGACACTATATAATAAAACGCAATAAATCGTTGAAGACAATGAGCCCTCAGAGACAGTCTGTCACAATAAGCATTGTTCATCAAATATATGTATATTACTTAATTTACTTGACACAGTGTCAACTGTCAGGGTTCCCAAGGGATTTCGTAAAAATGTGAGTTTATTAAAATTTGTATAATCTATAGCCAAATAGGCAAAGACAGACCTTTGTAACCTCTTTTTGTGATCCGATTTTCTTTTTTTTCTTTTATACCTATGGCTTTAGTGTTATAAAAAAAAACAATAATGAGTATGTCTATAATTATACGATTAGTATAAGGTTTTTCATAATTCAATCATTTTATATCGAGATTACAAACAGGCTATAAATTAAAGATAAACACTAAAAATATGAAAGTTCCATATTAGGTACCTATGTAGGTACTCATTTTAAGTGTATACTTTTAGTGTGTATGTTACGCGATACCTCCATTAATTCATTCAGTGAACCGATTTTCAAAGTTCATTTTTTATTAAACAGGTTTTCAATAAACAATACTAAGGTACGGGTACCTTTATAAATTTCAAGTATTCACTCGCCTAATTTTAAGAAAGTATTACAATATTACCTACTAACGCGGCCGACGACTAATAAACAATACAAAATATATATAATCAAATTGAAGACCACTCATGACGCAAGTTCGAGTAGGTATATCAAAAATTCGTATCTTAAATTTTTACAGAAAACCTAAACAGAACTATCTTTTCGGATTCTTTCGCGAACTTATTTTGATTTTCGGTTCCCGACGCTTCGAATGCTTTACAGCAATCATGGTCACGGGAAAGACCAAGATGTTAGATGTCTCAAAGGTATTATATAGTTGTTACAGACAGCCTACCCACAAATAAAAAAGGGTCTCTCCCGTGACCATGATTGCTGCAAAGTGCAAAGTATTCGAAGTGTCGGGAACCAAAAATCAAAATAAGTCCGCGAAAGAATCCGAAAAGATAGTTTTGTTAGGAATGTCAAACATTCGCGTAAATCTAAGAAAGTATTAACGTAAACAGAACTTTTTTTTTAATTTGAATTCAAAAACTTTGATATTACAAAATATATTTTTTTTTTCTTTTTCAAATAACTATTTTAATTTAAAGGCTTTTGTGTCTATTATAGTATAAAAACCTTAGGATGTTGCATAAGATCGTGACATACATCTCTCTTTTATAGGAGTAGACGATGTCAATGAACCGAACTGCTGACGTAAAGGTACGGCCTCTAAATGTAAGCATCGACACTTCAGATTTCATCCTGATTACGTAGAATCACTGTGTTCAGGAAATATGATACTTTAAATGTGAGATCAATTTGAGATATTGAGTAATCATTTTGATCAATATATCTCTTAACATTTATTATCAGTTATGAAATGTTGTATTTAGCATTTTGTGTTGAGGTTTGCTATTAAATTGTGTTGTAATTGTCACCTTAAAGGACCAGGAATCCGGACTTCTTCGTTATTTTAAAGATATTGATACCACATAATGTTGTTTGTATAAAATATTTAATGTTATTTGTATAAAAATATAATAAAGAATAAAATAAAGATATTATACTATTTAATCAAAGTATTACGGTCGGTCAATTGACGCTATTACCTACTAACACTTACTGAACATAATCACAAAGATAGTTCTTTATTTAAGCTGTGTTATTTAATTGAATAAACATTTCAAAAACAATGTCGTGAGAGGAGTAAAATCTGCGCTACCCTCTACACTTCCTATTAAATGCCGTCAGATTAAAGTAAAAAATATCGTTGAATAAATCAGTTTAATACCAAACTAAGAAATAATACATACCCAGCTATGTTCATTGTAATTTTATGATTTTGAGGATGTTGTGTATATACTCATATCTACGTAATTTTTTTTTTTTTTTTTTAATGTTGGGAAATGCATTTACGCACGACGTGTGGGACTCACCGGCGTAATACAGCCAGTACTACCCACTAAAACCCAACAAAACCTTCCCCCGTCTTAATGGGGCGTCGCAGGATCGCTTACGCATTCAACTACGACGCCCCGACGGCAGGTCTGCCGAAGCAGACCACAACAACCACGGGGTTGCTCCACAGTCCACTCTGCTATCAGAGAAGTACCAGGAGCAACCCGCATGGTACACTGCCCTCCGAAGAGGGCCACCTCCCACCGCCCACCGAAGTGGGCCACCTCCCTGTGCGTTTCTTGGCTTCGCGCCCGGTTGGGTTGCCGGGCACTACTGAGCCCCCCCACCACGACAAGGTGAACACACGTTGGGGGGGATATCTACGTAATACTCAACCGAGATAACTGAAGGCAATAAATTCTTATCTTTACAATTAATCTTGTTTAGTCGTTAGGGATTTACAGTCGTTTATTGTGTTGAAACCATTCATTGATATTCTATGGTTAGTTATATATTTCATATGTTTCTTTTTATTCGACTAATCCATACTAATATTATAAATGTGAAAGTGTGTTTGTTTGTTTGTCCTTCTTTCACTTCGAAACGGAGTGACGGATTTGCGTGATATTTTGTGTGGAGATCGTTGGAGGGCTGGATATTGACATAGGCTATTCACCGCGGTAGATTATCTAATTCCCACGGAAAAAGAAGTTATAATACAATCCAAAAAAAAATATATTTATGATCAGAATTACTTGAAACTTGGTATTAATGCTCTTCAATAACATTAAATAACATCAACACAACACTAACATTACAACCACAAACAAAACAAAACAACAATAACATTTTTTCGAAATTTATCCTATAAGGGGGTAAAATAGGGGATGAAAGTTTGTATGAAACTAACTTTTTAGCGTTTTTTTTTTGTAGTTTGCGAGCAACGCCGGGGCTTCTGCTAGTATATTTGTATGTTACTCCTGCGTGTAGGAGTGCGTGCGTGTGCGGAAGTACGCCTGGTACCTAGCAACTATTTAGCTACAAAATCCCACGTACATTTCGATGGTTTCTATTGATTTTTCACTGTCAGCTTGATAGAGCATACTACCTGACTTGTCAACCTCGTGGAAGGTAAAAAGTACATTAGAACCAATAAATATTTAAAATGTTGTTAGACCACTAAAAAGATCACCTTATACGAAAACTTTTCCCAAAAAAAATCTATATTCCACATTTCACTTCTCAGAATTGATACATTTTTTCCTCAACTACGAATAACAAATAAAGATCTTGGCGTTACACATTTCCACTGCTCAAATCTTACAAATTAATTTTCTTATAAAATGAATGTCTGATTATAACATAAGTTTACCTTTTTAAGTCTCCGAATTAGCCTCCGCTGCCTTCGTAGCAGGCTCTTTCCGCAGTGTCGTAATCTCTCTATCCATTGATATCGCATTGGCACTAAGTCTATTAGATCCCACACACACACTGACATCTTCACATCACAATTCTCAAGTGCTCGAGGCACAATGTACACTTTTATATATTTTAATAATTAAACCAAATACACTTCTATAAATTAAAACGAAAGAAAACATTCAGTATTATTCTCCAATTTTACACTGCATGCTTACATGCATTTCTTATGTTTGGAGAACAACAAAATCTAAATAAATAGTCCATAAAAGCATTTATAAATTTTTAAGCTTTAACGTTCTTTTAGAAAATCGTATTATTTTAATATATTACTTATTGCATGTTTAATATTCCATACTAACTGTAAAGAAATAAGAACCACAGCTAACTATAAACAATCCCAGTATTCTTAGGCACGTCTCTCAGCGGTCTATGGAACAAAGCTTTGCATTTCTTAAATTAAAACGTGACCGTACTTTACACAAGTCACGTTCGCGCCGCGCCGCTATTTCTATTAAAGTTAGAAAATGCCTTTCCTTTTTTTTCAATAGTTGTAATAGTAATCGTAGAGGCAGATTTAAATAAAGTAAACAGAAATGTTAAACTTTATGATACTATTATAGATACTATATGAAAGTTGATATGCACGGGTGTACGTTTTTTACTCCTGCACGCTGAAACGCCTGAACAGATTTGGACAATCAGGGGCGGATCTATATATAGGCTTTTTGGGCTGCAGCTCAAGTCCCTAAAGTATAGTGGACCCCCTGTTGAAAACAAATTGTGAATTTATAACAAAAAAAATATCGAAAATAAAAAAATAAGGCCATAACGTCGGCTTAATAACCATGAGATCAATTAAGGTTTGGTCCAATAGTGTTACCTTAATTTCGTCTAGTAGCTACTACTACCTTATAGATTTTATAAATACAAAATGACACTTAGTTTAGCAATAACATTAAAAAAATGTTAAATATTTTGCTAACATCAAAAGTTAGTAAAAAAAGTTTCAAAATGTAAATTCATAATGTTAATTTTGTAGGTCAGAAACTGTTCTGCCCGAGCATCTGAAGAAGAACATTATCATAGCAGAAGCGATTTCAAGAAAAATACCAACCAGAGGTCGAATGGTCTGTAGTGAAAGGCGATTCAAGGCGATTTTTCAAAATCCGTTCAGTTATTTTTGCTAACGTGGATGCTAGCGCAATTAGTCTATAGGAATTTGGATCAGATGTACATTTCCCAAGTTTGAGAACAGGGATTATAACTTGGTGATTACCATGATTCGAACAATACCTGATTCCAAAATGCGTTTATTAAATTTAAGAAGTACTTTTTGGGTCTATGGGTTAGCCTTCCAATGAAAGATTAAAGGATACAATCCCGTCTTGGACTAGTACCTATGTTTTAAATCCGTTAAGGAGCTCTCAAGTCAAACAAAAAGCTTGTATTGGGAAGCAAGCTAGGGACGAACTCGAGCGAAGTGAGGGTGAGTCGCTAGTTGAGGATATAGAGATTAGTATCATCAATCATGTCTACTAAGACACGCAAATAGATAAATAAACCAATCACTACGATGAAACATCTAATTACAAGGATTACAACTGTTACAATAAATTATAAATGCAAAAGATATAATAATTATGTAAAAACTATAACGATCTCACTAACACGTGTGTTAACAAAAACCTATGCGAGTGAATCACAAAAAAAACTTTACTTTTCTGTATTTTTTATACAAGTATAACCAGTTAATTGTAAATTTTATGAGAGTCATGAATATTTTGGCAAAATATTTAAGTTTAAGTTATAATGACGTATATTATACGGTGCATACATATATTCATATTGAACAAATGACATAAGAACTTAGTAGGCATCGCTACACTTGATTATATCGCTTGATTGATAAGAAAAATAAGCATAATATTTATTTTCATTAACATTAATACCCTATATTATTTAATTAAAATTAACCATAATCAGATAGAAGATAGCACGCTTTAGGATCGCTGTGATCGCCTCCAGGCTCTATGACGTTCAGTAATATCAGTAATAATGCTAAATAAAATACCCTTTGAACAGAGTGTCAGTCAGTCAGATAGTAAATAAACAGAAATTATGTTTAGATAGATATATGAAATGATAATGTACTCAATACTCATATTGTTATGTAAAAGCAATATGTAAATTCAGCACCCACTAGTCACACTTACGTAACGATTGCTTAGAACAATATTGAGTGGTCAAAACTAGATAATTAATAAAAAACCGAAATTGGCAAAAAATAACAATTATTGTGACATCAATACCGTTTCCGTTGTATAGAAGAAGCAGAAGAGCAACTTTAGAACTGTTGATTAAATAAATAATAGAATAAATATTAACCCAGAAATTGATAAAGTACGTTAATATTATGTAAAAGGAGCAAAAAATGCTAATTTGACTAGAAACATTATGCTTTTTCTACTATATAATTCTAAGATTTCAATTAACTTCTAAAAGAAACAAAAAATAATATGTAATTAAATATATATTACTTTTTGTAATATGTATAATTTACATATTTTGAATACATATACTACACATACACATAGTCAATAAAGTTGTGTTTGTTTAGCATTTCTATCTATACTTATTATAAAAATAAGTCCCCCGGCCGCGTCTTTCTGTCCTCCTGTCTGTCCTCCTGTCTGTCTGTACGCGATAAACTCGAAAACTACTGAACGGATTTTTATACGGTTTTCAACAATAGAAAGAGTAATTCTTGAGGAAGGTTTAGGTATATAATTTATTATGCTTTTATGTAAATTAGCTGAAATACGGCGACAAATGTTGAAGAGGTCGCAAAAAATCTCGCCAAATGGGAACTTTCCACGCGAACGCCGCGTAAACTAGCAAAGATACAGTTAAGTAATGTACTAGAGAATTCAAAATCTATAAAAATGCTACAAAAAAGTCCGCGATAGCATATCTCTATCTCTTACGGTTGACTTACAATAACCACTTTTATGTTAACATTTTTAATTAAAAACATTACGTTATTTTCAAAGTTATTTTCTTTAGTTCGGTATTAATCCTTATCCAAATGAATATTTTAGTTAGCTTAGTCATTTAATGCAGATTAAAATTGCTCTTTACACTAAATCAATCAGATGAATAGTTTTTGAGATATCGTTGTTAGAAGTAATTAGTAGCGAAACATTTTTAATGCTTGGCGAGCATTGAGATGCCTACGGCGAGTCCATCCCCTCTGCCCCGCATCGCTCGACCGCCTGCTCAAGCTATATAAACCGGGCGATGTAGCGCGCGATCCTAGGATACTTTTTACCGCGGGAAAATATCTTATTTCTGAGGAAAAATACAAAAACTGCAATGTAAGAGTATACTAATATGTAACACCTAAGAATTTAGTTTTTGGTCATCTGAACGCGGGCGGAGCCGCGGGCAATGCTAGTATAATATAATAATAACTAAAAGTCTAACCACGGTAGATATATATATATTTTTTGATTTATGTTTCAAAGATATCAAAGAAATTCATCTGAGAAAAATAACATCAAAGAAAGGCACAGCAAGCATTCAGTTCGTGGGACTTACCTGTGTAAAAAATAAGTCCACGTAAAGAACAAGTATTTTCTATGTAAGACGTTAAAAAATAACGGAGTAAAGACGAAAATACACTAAAAGCTTTTTAATATATAACACTAGCGGCTCACCCTCGCTTCGCTCGGGTTCGTCGCTAGGATTTAAATAGATATAAATAGTTATTAGCCAGCGATAATCATATAAATCTTAATATTTTTTCTTGATTTTTCTGGTGTTTTAATACTTATTAACCTATTCCAGACTAAGAGAAATCCAAAAATTCAAATATCATAAAAATTGTTCCACCCATTCTTGAGTTTTATGTCACGTCAGACGGGAACGCGGTCGAACGGGATAAAAAGTATCCTATGTCCGTCTCCTGGTTCTAAGCTACCTCCCCACCAATTTTCAGCCAAATCGGTTCAGCCGTTCTTGAGTTATAAATAGTGTAACTAACACGACTTTCTTTTATATATATAGATTATACTTATGCAACGTCTACCTGATGTCGTAAAAGAGTATTATCAATCGATTGTACAATATTTGCGACCGATATTTCATTTCACGTTAAAACCGCATGCTATATATTATGTATACAAAAGTGAAAATTGATCTTAAAAGCTATACTAACTTGTTTTATGGTCTAGTTTTAAATCTACTTAACAGTTATACAATTTCAATGTTATTTCAATAATTAGTACCTATAATATTACATGGTATACCTATTAAGTACAGAAATAATATGTATGAATATATATATATATATATATATATATACATATATATATACATATATATATACATACAATAATAACTTTCAAAAGCAACTATAACTGATATTTATATATGCATAAAAATAAACAATACTAATTGAATAATTATTTATTTGCAATTTATTACACTTACAAAATAAATAAGGAAATCGATTATAATATTACAAAAACTACTCAATAACACAAAGTTCAAAAAGTCAACAAAAACATTACGTACTTATAATAACAATATTATAATCGGGATTCGCTTCCCGGCTTAAGACGCTCAAATTATCTTTGTTTTGTGCAATAAAAGGGGCCAGATTAACTGGATAAAGCGAGGATTCTTATTCATCTGGTTTTCTCACAAAATTTTGAGCAACTAACGGGCTTATTTATTTAGACATATTGTGAAATTCTCTTTTAACGTAAAAGACGTGGTGTTTGCAACAGCAGACCAATGGCTGTGCTACGCTGTAAATGAAATTAGACATCAGTAGACAGTAGACACTATGTATTCTTTCCGCAAGAAGATGTCGCAAAATAAAAACCAAAAGTGAATAAATAATACACTTAGATTTTAAAAATAGTCTACTCACGTTTATAAATTGTATTAATATAGTCTGTTGTCATTTAGGCGGTAATGAAAACAGAAATTGACAGTTGTCAAAATGTAAGATCATTTTGTCAACCGACTTCAAAAAGGAGGAGGTTCTCAATTCGACTGTATTTTTTTTATGTTTGTTACCTCAAAACTCCGTCATTTATTAACCGATTTGGACAATTTTTGTTTTGATTGAAAGTGTATACTTCCAGATTGGTCCCATTTAAATTTCAAAAAAAATACCACCCCTAAGGATGGCAAAATAACTAATGATGAATTTAACCTACTTCTAATTGTCATATTGACTTGAAACTTTGCAAGTGTTTCTATTTTCATGGATAGTACAGTGGTTCGGTATTGTTGACCTAATCTGATGGTAAGGCCAGAAGGTAGATAGGTGGAACTCTTCAACGGCTAATAGTAGATACTTTGAGTTTGGGCTTATTTTGTTTGATTTGACAAGCCTAACACGTTCTTACTTTGCTACTACTGTCTACACTAAAAAGGAAAAAATAAAAACTTTTTAACAAAAAAATAAAAACCGACTTCAAACAAAAGCACTAAAAAGTAAAAAATAACTGATTGGTAGTTTTCGTTTACTATACATACCTAATCAAATATTTTCGAAATCGATGCCAGCCCATACAAAGCAAAGCACACCGACTTCGAAAATATTAACTTCTTCGACTTCGAAAAACAGACATACAATGAACAAAGGTATACCTAATTTATAGTTCTATTGTCAGAATTAATGTATGGAAAGAAATTTTATTTATATTTAAGTATTATTGTATTTACTCAATTGAATTATTTAATTTATTGTCATTGTTTATTTATTTATTTATTAATGATAATTTATATATATTAATCAATTAAGTAATTGCTCACAACATACAATATCATTTCAAATAATATTAAAGATTTTTAAAATAAATTAATTCCAGATTACAAAATTATTAGTTAAAAAATGATAAGTTAATAATAGTCACTAACCAAAAATTGAAGTTAAATTAAATCTAATCAAATAAGTTATAAATATGATCTGTTAAAATACAATGTTAAAAATTGTTAATTAAGTAAGAGTAATTATAATTTAAAATTATAAGTAAGCATGTATACAATAAATAAAGATTCATTATTATTATTTATTTTGTATTATTCCACGCAAAATATTATGTTCGATAATTTCGCACGCTCGGATATAAGCATCGTGTTCAAACGGCCAAGGTGCAAGATCAACAATCTCAGGTGTCCAGGTCGAATCTCCGAAAAGCTCCGTAGCGTACAAAGTTTTACTTTTATTTTATTTTTAATATTTATTCAACTTTTTATTTTTTTTTAAACAAATAGACGTAAAATTAACAATCATAGGGTTCGAATACCGGTCGGATACAAAGGTATATTTTTTTTTGTATTTATTCATGTTTTTAGTGTTTTTTAAAAGAAAATTGTACTTTTTAACCAAAAACTCCGAGCAAAGCTCGGTGGCCCAGGTACTAATCATTAATTGAACATGGATTATATCATCGCGATCGGCAGTTACCACTTCCGTATTCATACGTATAACATATGAGTACACTAGACCGACAGTTTTATATTTATATATATTAATGTTTAGACTATACTACGTCATAATATATTATGTAAAAGACTAGACAAAGTATTGGGAGATTGCGCTGATGTAAAAAAGAAGTATTAACAAATGATAAATTTAAGAAAGAAATCTCTATAATACCCTATTTCAAACTATAAACAAAGACAAAAATAAATATGAAAGGTATATAATCATAAAGTTGTATAATAAATAGTTTAAAAAAATTTTAATAGGGTTCTGAGACGTGATATTATTTGATTTTCCGTGATTTACAGAGGAAATTACTTAGGTTATTGACACCCATCCTTTCAGAGGCTACTTTGCATAAGTTATCTTACATTCAGTCTATATACCGGTTGAAATGTATGTAGGTATGTATCGTTGGAAATATTACCGTTCTCTTGGCATGCTCGAACACTAGTTGCAAATGCGTTTTAATTCTTACACTCACTATGCTGCATATTTAATAGTTTATTTTGCGAAGTTCATATAATAGATGCCTTTTAAACGAAAAGATAAAATTACTAATAACTCTTTTTATTATTTTTATTCTATTATATGATTAATGACTATTATTATACTGCTATTGTTTGTAAATATTTGTTCTCTGATTCAACATCATTAAACCAGTGGGTCTTGGAATTAAAAAAATAAATAATATATAAAATCGATTAAGATAATATGATGGTTATAAATACAGGGCATTAGATATGACAGATAATTAATCATAATTATTTACTACGCCATTTTGTATCCCAGTGGGGAATAATTTTATTGTGAAAATTAGTAATAGTTTCATTTGAAACTACACAAGGAAATTGATATGGTTACTGATATTTTTGTATATATGTATAACATATAAGGTATATATATCACACATCAACACATACAAGCACTTGGTGTATATCCTATATTATGCTGATTGAAAGAGTGCCGCTTACACTATAATATTTATTCAACATCTTCTCGAAAAGTATAATTTAAAAAACCAAACAATATATAATATTTGATAGCAGACAAACAACTGTAGCTATTACAAATCGGAGAGAGCTTAAATAATGAAATAAAAGTTCTAAACTATGCGTGGCAAACGTTCCATACACCGTATATATAATACGAGTATTATATAAGCAAGTATATAACGACATAAATAAATTATGAGATCAAAATAATACGATATAAGACGCACATCACTATTTCACTAGTCGACTCGAACACGCGCACGCGCACGTCTCCACGCGTCGATACCGACTGCACCACTGCAAGAACCTCTTTCACTTGTTACGCAAGACGTTGCGCAATTACACTTTTGCCTTTCCAACTGCAGTGTAGCAACGCTCGATGTAGGATAAAGAGGATTTCTTCTTGGAACAACTTAGTTCCGTTTATTTTGTTTTGTCCGATGACATTTTATACGAGCCGTCCTCGATTGATTAAATCGAAGAAAAATTACAAAATCCAACCTTTGGAAAGGCCAGCCTGCCTAAGAAGAAGACTGATCGCTTTTATATAGCAATTAACAAGGTTGTCTTATTTGATAGATATGGTATTTAAATGAGATTGTCCTTGCTAATCAGTAGGCTTAGACATGATGACGTTCTAATCGTCACCGCGAATAGAAATAAGAAACCTAAAGCATCTGCATCTTCATCTAAACAATTAAAGAATATGACATAATATCTTAGTGTTATGGTACGTGGTTCCAATAACTCAATATCATAATATAAGTACTTTTCGTTTGATTTTACTATTTACTATATAGATAGCCACGTTCCGAAAGTTTGTGCTTTAATATTTATATTAAATTACTTGCTCAAAGAATAAAATGTGAAGAATTTTTTGGTCTCATTAGCGTGAAGCGATCTCTTCGCTTACGAGACTACCCACCTCGGTGAGACTCGGAAGATGTACCATGCAGGTTGCTCCTGGTACTTCTCTGATACTAAAGTGAGCCATGGGAGCAAATCCATGGTTGCTGTGGTCTGCCTCGGCAGTCCAGAAGTCTGGACATCTATTCTGTTTTTTAGATGACAAAGACGCCTTATTAAAATGGTTCTTTTGGATTTTAGTGGGTAGCGTTTCTAGCCGGTGAGTTCCAAGCAACCACCTGTATATATCGTACATACATAAGGTATACGTAAATGCTTTTGCCAACGATAAAAAAGTACTTACATAAATATTAAATAGGTTTATAGGTAAGACAAAGTCATCAATATTTTTAATAAATAGATATAATTGACTATTCATAATGAGTTTGTTCTTTTTTTATCTATCCATTCTTATATAATATTATCTATACAGGTTCATAAATGTGGAGAGAAATCTTAATTTCGGTCAATTACATTTGACTAATAAAATATACAAGCAAAATTTTAAGATTAATTTTAGAAAGCAATGCTCATTTTGTGTGGTTGTGTTTCATAATATGGCAAGACATATAGGTATGTAGATGTAATAGTACCTTTACCGACACATAGAAAAAAATGCAGATTGTTATTATTGCTAGTTTCTTAAAAACAGGTGAATCCTACTGTATTAGCTCTTCGCAAGGCAAATAATAGCCACGAGATCGACTTGGTACATTGATTTAGGTATTTGTTTTCAACATCCAAAGTAAAAGTTTCCCTTCAGCTCCAAATTGTTCTTTCTACACAATCCACATATTGTTTGGTAAAAAGTTAATTTTGAACGTTGGGTTTGGGGGAGAAGGGGGTTAAAAGTAGGTAAATAAGTAGTTTCTATCCGTTTTTCTTAAATATTTCTAAAACTATACGGTTTAGCGTAAAAAAAATTATTTACAAAAATAATCTACATTCATTTGCGAACAAAAATGATTCCGTGCATAATCTTGCTAAACTAAACTATTTATTAGGTTTTTTGGAAAAAATGTACTTAATAAAGTAAGGAAACTATCTTTTTTATACACGATTGTGTTTTTGTAAAAGTAAATTACGATTTTAGTGGCCAATGGTATGTTAGTGAGAAGCCCTTTACTTTGAAGGAAGGACAACCACACCACCTTCTGAAGGGGCGCAACTTTTTAAATGAAACGAGGCTTCCACAGGCCTAGGCCAAATAAACCTTGTGATACGGAGAAACCCACTCTGAACTTTCTCTGCCAAATGGCGCATTAAGAATGAATATCATTTCAACATAAATGATTTTAAAATATAAAAATTGTATCTATTGTAATTGTAATTATTTGTTATCATTATAATCATAATATTTCAAAAACTGCAGCTTTTGGAGGTTTTTCTTTAGTAAATAAGCATATTTGGCTGTATATTGCAACCATGACTCTTTCTGCACTTCCAGTTGCGGACATATTCGTCTTTACAAGCGCACACTATGAGGGAAAGTAATTCTAGGGGAGCTACAGAAAGTGCTGTTGTAATTGGATTTAGGTGTTCACCAATCTTCTTTCGCCCCCATTCGAGCGATTTTTTCTTCTCATTCAACCGCTGCTGCACCTGGTGGTAGGTTCTAAACGAATGCTGCACTGGGTTTATCTTTGAAGTCGATAAAAACCAGAAGTTTAGAACGAAGAACCCTGTTGGCCTGCACTTTCCTATAAGGTGTAATTTTCCCCTTTTTATAGATAGCTTGTACTGTGTAACGTCCTGTGAAGAGTGAACTGTGAAGGCGTATAATGCAAAGAGTACACCTTTCATATCCCCGATTCCTCCCTGAATTACATAGTTCTCTTCGTAACTCTGGAACCGTTCACTTGAGCAACATTTTTGTGCTAAACTGTATTTCCGAAATATTTAAGGAAAACTGATGAATACTACTAATTTACCAACGTCTACCCCGTCTCGCCCCGAAACCCGACGCTCAAAATGTGGTAACTTTACCAAATAATATGTGGACTAATTGCACTGTTATAGTTCATAATAAATAAACTATTGACGTTGATAAAAAAACTTAAAAAAACGACTTCCAGGCACTAAGAAGTAAAAAATAACGACTTTTTTTAATAACATATTCGATTATGCTATTTATTTAAAAATAAATTTACTGTACATTTTTTTAAAAACCGCTTGACCGATTTCGATAAACTTTAAATTAATTGGAAAGTAATTTTAAAGAAAAATAATTTTCCAAACCAAGCGTCTTCGAGTAATCGGTAAACATAGGTACATAAAAAAAAAGATTCCAACAAATTGAGAACCTCCTCCTTTTTGAAGAAGTCACTTGAAAAGATATACATACAGTGTTGTGAAAAAATATATAACAGTTATTACAGTAATTAAAATTTTTTATCTAACAAAATTATAATCTATAATATTATCATATTTCTTTAACTACGCAATATACACTAATTCGTTATAAGTATACTGGTACTTACTTTTTTGCGTGACCATGATATTGGAGCGATGTGAGTTTGTTTTTAATACGCTAAATTGAACTTTGAATATTTATAAACTCAGTTGTATTTTGACAACCAACTGAAGTGAACGTGTTTTTTTATCATTGCTCTTGAAATCTACATTACTTACCAACTTTGATTTTCGGGGTTAGCCATAGTTAATTATATATACAACGTGTCTAAAAATTCAACGATAAGCGAGCACCAGAGGATGGACCTGGCTTATTTGAATTATTAAATACATCATATATTTTTTTAAATTACAAAAAAAAATTAAATCATTCAAAAATTAAGATATTTTTCACTATCATGACCACAATTTTTCAAATATATTTTTTTTGTATCGGCAACCTAAGTAGCACTGCTATCCACCACAGCCCTTAGAAATGCCAGAATGCCTGTATTTTTTACACAAAAATCAATCAAAATTATTTTTTTTCCTAAATTTTTTAAAGATTTTTACTTTCAGGCCACTTTCATTGATCATGGTTTAAAAAAAGCAAACTAAGCAGAAAACACAAGCAGTAAATCGGACTACTTTTGTGAATGCGAAAGTTTGTATGTGTGCATGTTTGTTACTCCTTCACGCTGAAGACCGAAACAGTTGGACGGATTTGGATGAAACTTATTTCGCAGACTATGATCAGAAGTAGCACACAAGCTATTGTAAGGCACGTAGGGATATACCCGAGCAAAGCAAGGTTAAGTCACTAGTATATATTATAAATTTCATCAACGCAGTAAAATTAAAATTTAGTACGATTGTAACTGCATGTGTATTGGTAAAAATAATCTATTGGTAAAATCTGATTAAAAGTGTATGTACAATTCTTCATTAATTGGCCCAAAGTGACATTTAAATATAAGATTTTACTTAGAAAAGATGAATAGAAAATATACTATATATTATAGGATTTTCGCTTTAATAGTAGATTATTATGACAGATGAATTTTATCACGCACATTCGTGCGAGCGAAATTCAATCACGAACGTTTAACGCTTAAGTGAGACATAAATATAGTAAATTAAATGTCACGTAGTAAAGACTGCAATACATGAAATTGTTTAAAATTATTTTCTACGGAAAACTTATTTGTCCATATTCATAGTTGTTTTATTCTATACTAGGTATGCCTCGCGGTTTCACGCGCGTTTAATTTGTTTGATTATAAAATATCAGTTTTACAATAATGTAAGGAACTCTGCCTGATTTATTGACGTTTATGATTATTGCTCCGCTCAATTTGGTAGTAGCATGATGATATATAACCTATAGCCTTCCTCAATAAAGGGGCCATCTAATGTAAAAAGAATTTTAAATTTTAGTTAAATCGCATTAGTAGTTCCTGAGATTAGCACGTTCAATCAAACAAACAAACTGTCTCTTTATAATATTAGTATACATAGATTCATAATTATAATTTAAAAGGAACGAGCTTACCCGGCAAAAGCTATTTCGCTAAACTTTCCTCCTAAAGGTCGTAGTTATGAAACGACAGCCTTATACTTTCCTTAATAAATAGGCTTTTTTTCTTTCCTTAATAAAATGCTTCATGTCAAAAAAAAAAGTTGAATTTGACTGGTAATTAGATAAGCGCGTTTATACACACACACAAACAAAGTTAGTTACTAGTTATATGTACTTCAATACTACATAATAGTATATCTATAATATGATTCAAATTATTAGGTAACAAACAATCTCTCTTCGTTGCATAAGATTAGAAATTAGCTTAGCCTAATCATAAACACTAGAATTAGCGTTATGAAACCTAAATTATTAGGAATAAACTTAACAAGCTCTAAACCAGGTTCTTTCACGTATTTCATAATAGAACTTACATCTAAATTAAAGACATTAATTTGATAAGATTGAACATTCATACATAATGAGTATTAAATATGTAAATGATATACAATATACGTATATTATGTACATACCTAATAGGTAGGTGAATTGTATTGATATTGTAAAATCTTTCATTAAAGATAAGTTTCGTTAACCTTCGAGTAAAATAAGCTACTTTTGTTTTTGTTCAGGTATAAAAAGTTATTTTATAGTACCTATACTAGTGACCTAGACCCAGACCTAGATACCCTATACAGAGTTAATGGTAACTCGACGTATTCCCGAATAGGAGGAGATAGGGGTGACCATTTGCGATAATTTTAACCCCCCGCATGCATTATGCAAAAGTGAACCATTTTTGAGTTATCATGTTTTTTAATTTTTTTTTTCAAAATAAATCAAAAAGGCAAAATCAAAAATTTATTAAAAAAAAGTATAAATTTAAATCTCTTTTTTTTCTGATTTATAAAACCGATTATATAGAATGTGAGTATGGATTAAAAAAAAATTAATAACAGATAGTGTAACATGTGCAGAGTAAAATCAAGTTTTAGTGAAACAAGGACGAGTCGCTATAAGGAAATGTAAATATATATTTTACGCTTAGTTAAAAAATTATGTACTTTCCAACACTCATCATCATGCGAGACTCTCTGATTGTAAGATATAAAAAACAGCAACTCCGAAAAGAAAATAAATCCGTTTTTAATTTTGAAACATTAAGCAGGATCAAGTAAACTTTTTTTTTATTAAATTAAGGTTAAATGCGGCTGGCTTTAGGCCATCTGCGTCTCTAAGAAAGATTCTATTTAAATTTTGAGCAAACTGTACTTATAACCTATACATAAGTACCAATCTACATATAGGTAGGTACTCGTAGATATATATAATTTACCTAAGATACAAATAATTTCAAACAGACAATATAAAGAAGTTATAAACAAAATTATTTACCTATTCCACACAAAATCACCTTTATTATATTTATTAGAACAATAAATGAAAACCTTCTGATTATTTTTACTATTAAAAAAATACCTTTTAATTATTTAGAGCACAGTTCAAAACCGCGCTTTAGCTATACCAAATGACTAGGCGCGTATCAAGTGAAATCAATCAAATCAAAATATTTTATTCAGCATTAAATTATTACAATTTTTTACTAAACGTCATGAGTCTACTACCAGTTCGAAAAGAGAAGCCTCAGACCTGAGAAGAACTATCGAAAGAAACTCAGCGGGACCAATATTAAATTATCTTTTGAGAGAAACCCATTCGAGTCCGAAGCAATTTTATTTCCTGTACTATAAATTATAAAATTATATATAGCACGGTACAATCGAGGAAAGTTGTTTTAAATTCAAATAAGAATCTTACACCACATTTCTAAGGTCCACAACCCGTTCAGTGGGGCAGCTTTCTCTAATGAACTAATAGTAAGTTAGGATAATGTCGAGATGTAAATATATTAAGGCTGAAATATTGAATGGCGTTGGTGGAAAGTGGTTTGAAAGCAAACAGGAAAAGCTTTTCCAATTTCCTTAATTTATTAAGCAGATGCAATTTTACGTAAATTGGACAACGTTAATGCCTTCAACAAAATTACGAGCAATTTTGTAAATTGTGTGTTTTGACCAAATGATTTTCTTGGTTGATTATGGTAGTACGAATTTAAATATAGTTTTTTTCATGTGTTTGCTGTTATAGATAAATATATGGTATTTATAATAACGTGTTCGCCCAGTGATCGAAATTCTACCATACTCATTATAGAAAATTTGAGGACAACCTAGGTATAGGTATATGAGAAAAAAATATTTATTCATTTATTGGTGACATTAAACTACTACTAAGTACTAGGTACTAAACTTACAAGGGAGAAAAAAGCACCGAACTATTTTGTCTTTGCCTATTTATACATATATAAAGCAATTTTAACTGACGCCTTTATAAAATTAATAAATAGAGATTAGCTACAGCGGCGGAGTTTGCAGATTCAATGCTCTCATGCCGTAGAAACTCTTGAGATCACATCCATATATACCTAATTATGTACATTGTTTTCATGGTTTTTTGTATGGCTTTTGAGTATTTCAGTATACCGAATATTTATTTCATTATTAATAATAATTATATACGTAAGTATCATAAAATTTAAAGAACAACATAAACATGACCATTTAAGTTACTTTATTGGGAAACAAAAATTTTATGTGGACATATGATGAACAGTTCCTTCCTTTTGAAGTTGACATAAAGGTTAATTCGTTTAAAATGGACACAGTTTGTATATAAAGCTTAATTAAGTCGAATTATCCATAATAAAGCGGACATCGTATATATTAAACAAGAAAAAAATGTTGATAATTTATCATCACTTGTTACGGTTCTAGCCTTGCGCATCCAAACTTGCTATCGAACATCGAGTGCAGCAATAAAATAATATTGCTAT